TTTGTCCACCTGCCATTCCGTCCTTCCAGCTTTTCATTCATCTGTCCACCTGTTGGCCTGTCCCTGTATGTAGGTAGGTATGAAAGTAGGTAGGCAGACTATCCCTACATATATATATATATATATATATAGATGGATAGACAACAAAATAGACATAAAGATCCTCCCACTGACCAAAAACATGCATGTTAGGCTGATTGGTAACTCTAAATTGTCCCTAGGTGTGAGAGAGTGAATGGTTGTTTGTCTCGTTTGTCTCTATGTGTCCCTGTGATGGACTGGAGACCTGTCCAGGGTGTCCCCCGCCCCTCGCACAGTGATTGCTGGACATGGGCACCAGCAACCCCTGTGACCCAAAATGGAAGAAGCGGGTAAAGAAAATGGATGGATGGATGGATGGAAAATAGTTTTCCTTGTGATTATTCAGGGGAATCTCCCATATCATCTGCATAATCTCAACTATGAACAAAATATCTACTTTTTCATAAAACAAAGAAGTTCTGTCCCTCAGGTGTGAGTTCTGAGCTGAAACCTGCTTCAGAAGCTGAAATTTAGCTGTTAGTTACTAAAGGAAGCAGAACAAAAGCTAAAAGTAACATGAGATGACAAAAACCTTGAAAAAAATATAATTTTTAAAGAAACTGAGTAAATCTTTAAGGGATTAAACAAATAAAAGTTAAAATATTGTAAAAAGTACAAAAGAAGTCACAGTTTCTCCTGAATGAGCTGGAATTTTGATAATAAACGGCTAAAAGAGGCCCAAGTCTGCAGGAGGAGTTTGATGGGGACAGAACTTCCAGAAAATGATCAAACAGAATGAAAGCTGACACTAAACTCCCAGACCTGACCGACAGACTGGAGCAGAACTTTGACAGAACCAGAGGAAGCTCGCAGCTGCAGAGAACAACTGTCGGGAGATTTACAGCCGTTTCAGGGCGACCCGTCAGCTCAGGAGCTGCAGGTCCTCTCACGTTCCTCAACACGCTCACCCGCCGTCCGGTTCAACCGGAAAGATCTTCACACAGAGCACAAATAATGATGCTGAGGAGGAGGCGTCGCATCAAGAGGAGCTCCTGACAGACGCTCCGCACCTGAACCTGCAGAGGAGCTCCTGAAAGTGAGACAGGATGCTGTCGCTCTGTGAACCTGAAGCAAGCTGCACGGTTGTCTGAGCTCATCTTCCACATGAAGTTTGTCCAGAGCCTCAAGAAAGGCTTGGAATAAAGACAAATGTACAGAATTCATTATAAAGTGTTGGCATTTCTTTGTGTTTTAAGTGTTGGAACAAGAAAAAGACATTTCTTATTAAAAAGTGACAATGACAGATCAGCACCTGCGACTAAATTTAAATTCTGAGTCTATTTTTATGTTTTTCTTCACAGCATCGAGCAAATTCACAGAAAAAATTGGTAAATGTTTTATGTGAGCGGCACGGTGGTGCAGATGGTAGAGCTGCAGCCTCTCAGCGAGCAGGTCGCCGGATCGAATCCCGACCGGGCCTTTCTGGGTGTAGTCTTCGTGCATGTGTGAGTTTTCTCTGGGTGCTCCAGTTTCCTCCCACAGACCAGAAACACGCATGTTGGACTGATGGTAACTCTGAATTGACGTGAGTGAGAGTGAATTGTTTGTCTCGTCTGTCTCTGTGTGTCCCTGTGATGGGCTGAGACCTGTCCAGGTGTCCCCTGCCTCTCACAGTGACTGCTGGACATGGGCACCAGTGACCCCTGTGACCCGAAAAGGAAGAAGTGGGGAAAGATAATTTATGGATGTTTTACCAGGATGCCCTGATGTGACCTGGACTCGAACCTGCAGCCTCAGGAATACCAGACCACCGTCCCACAGTCTGACATGTTTTAATTTGAGGACACGCATACTTTAAATCAAATCACGCAGATACTTGCAGTGCTTCCCTCTCTAAATGTTTTTTTTTT